AAGAGCCTCTGCCCTTCCGCCTTCTCCTCCACCAATGACAACATCAACAACCTCAGACCATGACGAGATTCCACCATCTTCAAGCAACGCTATCGTTTTCTCCAATCAGATCCCTACAAATTCTAGAGCACACTCGTGCTACAACATTTCAGATTCAAGCTTTTGACCTTATTTGATTAGATTGCTCACAATTACTGGTGAATCAAAATTTGTTAAATCTATTGATTATTATATTGAATTGATCTTTATATTGAATTTGCAAGATCTATCTTATAATAGTTTGATTCCAACACTGATTATTCGATTCAAATCTATAGATCAAGCCTGAATTCTCACTCTGTTGGTTTATTTCGAATATTACATTTTACTGCTGTAGTTCCTTGGTTGTTAGATTATTTTCTGTTTGTTTATAACATTTCATTTATCATAGTTATTTTCCTTAGAGTTATAGTGTGAATCAACATTTATTTGCATTTAGTCTTGTTAGTCTTGTTAGGTTACTTTTCAACAACCCTATATATCGTGCTACATCAGGTGTAGAATATCTAGTATTCAGATGGGTAGTATTTGCAGATCACCAAATTATTTATAATCATAAATCAACTATTAGCTGAAAACTTATTATTATTTTAGTTTCCCCTATTAGCTTCCATCTTGGCTAGGTGCTTATTCGTTTTTTTAGTAAAATAGCAACTAGGGAGAGATCTGGCATTGTGTTGATATAGAAGTCCAAAAAAATTTCTTTATACCTTGAAATAAATATTTCCTTTTTTTAAGAACTGAGTCAGCTAAGAGGAAAGTAGAAAAAATGTTTGCTTTATACATGCATGAGGACCCTAAGATGTTTAAGAAACAAACTCAAGATGCCCTCTCTGATGTTCTAGACTATCACAAATTTAGACAGCTGACATCTCCATGCATATCATTCGATGTACAAGAATCCTACAAGCAATTTCTAAAGGGTTCTGGAGATGCATAGCTGTTAGAATTGGACAGTTTCATCATAGGTGACTACTTGCAATTTAATAATCATGACTACAACAATACATGGCAAAGCTTGACCTTATTATATCCATACTAGTAGTAGTTGTATGCATGAAAAACATGCCATATTAGAACTTCATGTAGAATGTGTTTTCAAAGTTTTAAATTTCTACAGACATTTATAAATGAACATTGACGAAGCAGACTTAAAAGTAACGCATTAGTTGGAAATTTCATCAAGATTTTGAAATATTTGTTTCTGATTTTTTTTCCCTTTAGATGCTATCTAGTTACTATTTTATCTTCAAACTCATGAATAAGAAGAAAACATTGTCATCCCTACATAACATTTTGACTTGGGGGCTTTTGTAGTTCAGTCAACATACTAACTAACATTCCTCCAAAGAGTCTTACGGCAGGTACCAGAGAGTGGGTTAAACAGCATTTAGTAAATGAATTAAAAGCAAGAAAAATTAGGATCCAGATGTGGCCAAACTTTCGTGTTTACTTCCATGTTATCTGTGGGGCCCACAAAAATCTTTGCATAGGATTTGTGCATGAAAGCTAAGAAGGAAACTGTTACATGCTTTGTTCATTCTAAGGACAAAAAGACATCTCCAACTTCATTGGGGGATTTGCTTTGAGAAAATTGAAGCTATCAGGATTAGTTAGGACGAATCTTACACAAAAATTAAATGCTTTGTTAGAATTGGGTTTGTCTTTATGTTAAAGCATATACAAAGGTCAGCATAGTTACAGGCAAATTAGAGAACAAGACAATAATGTTTTTATTTCTTGGATAGTTATTTAATTTGAAGTTGCATATATTTCTAATTTATATCTTCCTCTAGTAGTCTCTCCACCTTTTAGAACCTCAATCTAATGCGAAAACTTCCGTTGTCAGGCTCCCAAGCATTCCCACAAGTTGAAGCACAGAACGGAGTCAATGGACAAGATAACCAGGTGCATTTAAAGAAAGAGGTGTAATTAGAAGATTGCCAAATTAAATGGTTCTAACATAGCTAGAACTCAACGTCTTTTGCAGAAGTATTGATCAAACTCAATAAATATATCACCTTCAAAACTCATATCCCTACTGAATACAGAGACGTGCAACTCAGGGTCAAGCCAAGCGTACAACAGAACCAACAACGATTCCTAGCAGGTAGCACAACTAACATACTTGAGTTTGAAAAAAAACAAATTTTCCACATGCTACAATTAGACCAACTTGCTTATATCTCAATAAATATCATACTGGAAATGAAGAACATTAGTTACACAGTAAGAGCTACATCAACATTTGAAGCAAGTAGTAGCTAAGCTAACAAAGGAAAAACTAAACAAGAAAAAATCCTAAATCTTGTACGTCAATCCTATACGTCCAATTTTTTCCCACCATATAAAGATTCTGTCACTAAGAATAAATTGTGAGGCTTTTCAACCGGAAAAAAAAAACTCCGATCAGAACCTAATCCCAAGACAAATTACAAGGAGCTAAGCCCAAAGCCCTCATCATTCAACAGATTTCAACCACTAAAATCTAAAGAAATCAACAAAATCTCGAATTTATCCTCAAAAATCACAGAACAACCCTATCAAAGAGACGAACCCACCTTGCCTTCGCCGACATCTGGAGACCAACCGGAGCGCGGAAGGAGGCGGAACCCTAGAAACACGAAGCCCGCAGAATCCCGAACCCTGAGAAATCATCGAAGCAAGCTAAAGAAATCAAGAAATTAATCGAATTCTACAGAAAACCAATCAAATAGAGAGAAAAGAGAGAACCTTGAAAGATAGAGAAGATGACGACGACGACGACGACTCAGGAGCTTGATTAGGGCAACAAGAACAGTAGCAAGTATTCAGCACCACAGATTGCATCTCCTCTCTTTTGAGCAGAGATTGAGAATGAAATCACCCGCACGCCTCTCTTTAATTTGGTGGTGCTAATTATTATTATTTTTTTATTGGTTTCTGTTGTCTCCACAGAGAGGGGGAGAGATGATGCGTCTCTGTTGCCTTATAATCATCTTGGGCCTAGGCCCATTTGCCAACTATTTAAGCTGACTTATATAGAAACAAAAATGCTGATCTCAACAATAATTTTTCTGTTGGTCAAATGAGTTTAGTCCCATATTTATTTTTTCGGACAGAGAAATGCTTTAAGGACCTAAAATATGGGATCAAAGTAAGAGGATAGGTGAACTGTCCCCTCCCTATTGCATAATGACTCATTATGTAATAGGAGGAAGATATCTCACTTGTCCCCTCCAATGGTCCCATATTTTGAGTCCCTGTAGTAGCGCTCTTTCGGACATAAGGGTGTCGTTTAGTATATATTGGAATTTTAAATACAGCAGACATCGCATGCGAAGGATGCTACAAGCAGCATTTGTTGCAAAAGATAATCTCAAACTCCTTGTATTTTGAAATCTAAAATACAATGTTTTGATTAGTTGAAAAATGTGATTACTGCAGAAAATGTAGCATCACCTGTATTTTATGATTGAATATGTTCCTTTATACAAATAGGAGGATCAGAGATTCACTGTTCATGCTACAGTAAATGCTACAGCAACATTTGCTGTAGCATTATTACTGTAGCTAATAATCAATTTAAAAATATTACTGTAGCACACGGGTATATTGTAATATTTAAAAGGTACTGTAACAGCGCGGGATACTGTAGCACTTCCAAAAATTCAAATCATGCCATATTAAAAAAAAGCGGGATTACTGTAGCAAAAAAAAATACCGTGCTTTGCACGGACCGCAAACTAGTATCAACTAACTTGAGGATATGGCATGACATTAGTTTTTAGTTTTTTGTTAATAAAAGGACTTCTGAAGTTGCTGCTGGCAAATTTGTTATAGCGTTTTTCTGCAAAATATAAATCTATTTAATTGTCACTCCCAGCTAACTCGTCGCTAACTAAATATTAAAAATAGAAAATTAACTGCAACATATATCGTTTTAACTCGATTTTGTGTCAACCAAACGAACTCTTCGAATTTTCAACTTCACAACAGATTCTTGGGAGACCTTATGGTGTTCAATAGCATGACCAATTAAAATTTCATACAGAAAAATTCCTTCTTTTTTTCTTTTTCTTTTTCTTTTTTTTTTTGTTAAGATGTCTTCTATGGTTTCCTTCAGTCTGCGATTCTGTCCTTTAAAAGTTTAACACAACTATTCTGCATCATTGATATAGATCCGTGGGGTTCCTTTAATCCTTTCAAAGAAGTACAAACACAAAGGCATGTGATTAGCATTGTTATTTAAATATAACTAATGATTAAAATAGAAGTCAGCTATGCATGGCTACCCTACGACTGCATATTAATCGCCTTGACCAAGGAACCAGCATAATACTAACTACCAAAAGACAGCTAAGATTATTGTCATAAAACACAACCACAAAAAAAAGGGTGTTGCTACAAGGACCCAAATAAAGAACCCAAGACATGGGACATGTAAGGTGTCACCATCCGGTTGCATAATGCACTGTTCACGTGAGGTGTCACCATCCGGTTGCATAATACACTGTGTATGAACAATGCATCATGCAACCGGATGATGACCCCTCCCATGTCCCATGCCTTGGGTCCCCTATTTGAATCCCTGAGACATTAATGCAAAAAAAAAAAAAAGCCGTGTGATTGTTGCGTTCAAATGGGTAAAAGCTTGGAGAATCATGTTTGCATAAAACCGAAATTACAACAATTCAAACTTGACAATATCTTGCACCACATTTTGAAGACACGTGGCACACAGAGAAAGAGCAAAAGTAACTTGAAATGAAATGAAAGAAATACATTCACAATTCTGGCCCACTGGGGCCATATAACAACCGCATCCCCATTTATCAACTCGTCAGCATTTTCTCCAAATGAAAGAAATGAAATCTAAACTGATCAGTGTCAGATATATGCATAGTGAAAAAGGCATATAGGCACAAATGTTATATTTAAGCAAGTTCTTAATCAAGTGATTCCATCGTACTAACTCCTCATATGAATCAGATACGGTATACTGTTAATGCATCGAAAATTGTATACTGATCACAGCCGAGAGATCTTATATGCAGCCTGCTCGTCCAATGAAGCTTCGGGGAGATCATCCACTGAATTGCTTCGAGATAAGGTGCCGACTGTAATTGTTTCATCGTCCATGGTTGTTGTATCTAACGAACAGATTGATGTGGCGGTTCCAACTCTTGAAAGCAAAGGACTGCGTTTGGTTTTTACACGCTTGCACCAACTATGAAGCGACTCCCTCACACTCTCAGCCAATAAAGATTTCTTGAATTTAGATCCCATCTTTAGACATGAGAAAAAAAAAGGAAAAAAAGAAAAATTGTGTCATTACCTGAAGAAAACAGTTTTCTTTGGTGCAAAACAGAAAGGAAATAAGACTCATAATTGGGTATAAAGAAGGGTTAATTGTGTATAGACCCCCTTGTACTGCCACCATCTTACTAACCCTGCATCTCCACTATTGCAGATAGGACCCTTTTCAGGGGGTCTCATCTGTAACAATAGATTTTCACCCATGGAGTCTATCTTCAATAATAGAACTACAGGGATAAGTTCAATTTGGCAATAGTACAGGAGTCTGTGCAATTAACCCTATAAAGAATGCTACTGGGACTGAAAGATGGTGGATTGTCGTACTACTACCATGTGAAAATCTAGATATGGAGCTTTTCTGGCATTGAGTCTGACCGATAATGAGGTACTTACCAACATTCTGGTGGAAAACAGCTGGATTGTGATTATCAGGTCCCTTGACAGTTGAAAGTATTAAGAACCACCTAAGATTAATATTCAAAACTTAAGGGTAAACCTAAACAAATCCAACAAGTCTGAAGCTAATGTTGGGTGCCGACTCAAACTCACAAGTTGAATCTGGATTTGAAAACTAGGCTCACTCCTAGTAGTTTTCTTGGAGGTCACGTTGACTTGGTGGACAAAGTCAGGACGGTCTTTAAATATGACATCCTATTCCAAGGCTTTTTAGGAGAGAGAGGAAGCGAGATACAATATTTTTGTAATTAGGGTTTGATAGAAATGTAATCGGGTTCAAGGGTATTATGAGAGAAAAGGTTTTGCAATCTTCGTTTGCGTAAAAGATTGTAATTTGGTGGTAATAATGGATTATTTTCGATCATGTGGTTTTCGTTGTTGAGGGTTTTCTACGTTAAATCTTCTGTGTGATTCTATTTGCTGTATTTGGTGGGTTTTCAAGGTTTTTGCAAGATCTAAAAATCCCAACAATCAAATCAGAGTGGGTTCGACAATTCGTAGATATTAGAACGGTGCGATCGAATAAGGCATTAGCAATCGGCATCGAGCATACGAGAGAATAGTGCAGAGACGCGGAGGCCGTCGAAGACTGGTCGAAGGCGTGGCGGTGAGTTCAGGCGTCAGCGAGGTTGGAGGTGTAACCGGATGCGGACACAACGGTGACGGCGGCTGTAGTAGCAAAGAGTTTGTTGGGTCTCTATTTGCGTGATGTACTTGGAGGAGAAAGTATCACGTGAAAAGCACACGTGTAAAAGAAAAAGAAAATAAAAACGAATTGCGTAGGTCCCATGTGCGTGAAGTTCAAAGGAGAAAGAGCACTCATGTGATATTTAATTCACATGGATCTCGTATGCAACTCTTTTGGTATTTCGTGTTTGGTGGGTCTGGATTTATTTTAAATCCAGATTAATGGACGGGTTGATTTGTCTGATGATCAGAAAATTGGAGGCGGAATTTAACAATCCAGGAGTCATTACTAGGATTTTTCAATGTGTTGAGTTTGTTTTTAACACCGGTTCTGCCAAATTCAATTTCTACAGTGACTAATTTGAATTAGTTGTGGTTGGAGGATGACATATTCGAATTCGAAGTTTGATATTTCACTATTCAACGGTAAGATAAATTTTACAGTATGACAGTGCATGGTTCAAGATCTTCTTAGGCAACAAGGTGTTGATCAAACTTTGAAGGATAAAAAACCTAAAGGGCTGAAGGATGGTGAATAGAGTTCCATGCAAAAGAAAGTGATTAACACAATTCGTTTGGCACTCGCCTCCCGAGATCAAGTACAACGTTATGCATGACTGCACTGTTTTAAATATCGGCCGATAATCGATATTATCGGCCGAGTTATCGGATTTGGGAGCTCTCCGCTAGGATAAATTAGATTTTTAATCGGTTATCGTTTTTGTAGGTTTATCGGCGATTTATCAGCGTTATCGGCACTTATCGGCCGATAAGTAAGACTTTTTTATCGGGATTATCGGCCCATTTTGACTAACATTATATTTTTTTAAGGCTATGATGCAAGTTTCGCTTTCTACAATTTGTTAGTAATTCTAAACATGATGATTTATAATTTGGTATGTTTATATTTCATTAAGCATGATTAGATTATATTTTTTAATTGTTATATTATATATACACATCATCCAGTATATCACTCCGATAAATACTATTTATCCCCGATATATCCCCGATTTCCGCTATCAGATAAGGATTTTGACCGTCCGATAAATCCCCGATAACCGATATTTAAAACCTTGTGCAGGAGACCCTGCTAAGGGGCTATGAGATAAGCTCGAAGAGACTTATGCATCGAAGTTGATGACTAACCAATTATGTTTGAGGATGAAGTTTTATTCATTGAAGATGAAAGAAGGTGTTGTAATTCAGCTAGTTTGCCAAGTTATGAATATTGATGAAGAATTTTATTTAATACCTTTAATCAGCTCGTTTGCTAACTTATGAATATTCATGGTAAAATTAAAGAAGAAGAGCAGGTGCTACTCTTACTGTCTTCCCTACCAAAGTCGTACAAACCGTTGGTTCAGACGATAATTACGATAATTACGGGTGTTAGAATTAGTTCTTGGGTTATCGGGTTAGGGCCCATTAACCCATTAGCCTATTACCCATATGTAACCCTATATATACCCATGGAGATGAATGAAATAGTATGCTCTGATTTTTCT